CTGCACCTCCACATAATCAAACCATATATAGCAAGCCCACAGCTAACATCATACTTAATAGAGAAAAGCTAAAAGCTTTTCCTTTAAGATCAGGAATAAGACAAGGATGCCTATTCTTACCACTTTTGTTCAACACAGTATTGGAAGTCCTAGCCAAAGTAATTAGGCAAGAAAAAGAAATTAAAGGCATCCAAATGGGAAAGGAAAAAGTAAAACTGTATTTGCAGATGTTATGATCTTATATAGAGAAAACCCTAAAAATGCCACCAAAAAACAATACCAAAAAATTCAATAAAGTTGGAGGATACAAAATCAATATACAAAAATCAGTTGCACCTCTATACACTAATGATGAACTATCAGGAAGAGAATTTAGGAAAGTAATTCCACTTAAACTTGCATCAGAAGGAATAAAATACCTAGGAATAAATTTCACTAAGGAGGTGAAAGAACTCTACATGAAATCTATAAGACACTGCTGTAAGAAACTGAAGATGACACAAATAAATGGAAAGATATGCTATGCTCATGGATTGGAAGAATTAACACAATTAAAAAGTCCATACTACCCAAAGCTATCTACAAATTCAAAGTACCCCTATCAAAATTCCAATGGCACTTCCAACAGCCAAGTAAGCTCCTTAACATTTGGTCTTGGCAATTATTTCTTTGATTTGACACCAAAAGCAACAGCAACAAAAGCAAAAATAAATAAACAGGACTATAGAAACCTAAGAAGTTTCTGCACAACAAAAGAAACCATCAACAAAATGAAAAGGCAACCCACTGAATGGGAGAATAATTTGCAAATCATATATTTGATAAGGGATTATTATCAGAAGCACATAAAGAACATGTACAGCTCAAAACAACATCAACAACAATCTGACTGAAAAAATTGGAATATGATCTGAACAGACACTTTCCGAAGGAAGATATACAAATAGTTAATAGGTACATGAAAAGGTGCTCAACATCACTGATCATCAGAGAGACGTAAATCAAAACCACAATGAGATATCACCTCACACCTGTTGAAATGGCTGTTATAAAAAAGACAGAAAAGTAAAAGTGCTGGCAGGGATATGGAGAAAAGAGAAGCCTTTTGCCTTCTTGGTGGGAATGTAAATTGATGCAACCACTACAGAAAATAGTATGGGGGTTCCTCAAAAAATTAAAAGTATCACTATCATATGAACCTCCAATTTCCCTTCTGGGGGGACTGAATTGAAATGGGGGGTTAAAGAAATGAAAATAGTAACTCAAAAAAGATATCTGTGACCCCCATGTTCACAGGAGCACTACTTATAATAGCCAAGACATGGGAACAACCTAAGTTCATCCATTCAAGAATTATGAATGAATAAAGAAAATGTAGTATAAAAATACAATGGAATATTATTCAGCCATAAAAAAGATGGAAATGCTGCCATTTCCAAAAACACAAATGGACTTTGAGGGCATTATGCCAAGTGAAATAAGTTAGATAGAGAAAGACAAATATCATATGATCTCACTTACATGTGGAATCTTGAAAAAAGAAAGTGCAAAAGAACCCAAACTCATAGACATAGGTAATAGATTGGTGGTTGGCAGAGGTCAGGGGCAGGCAGGCAAAACAGCAAAACAGGTGAAGGTGGTCAAAAGGTACAAACTTCCAGTTATAAAATAAGTAAGTTCTGGGAGGTAATAGACAGCATGGTGACCACAGTTAGTAATACTCTAGTGTATATTTGAAAGTTGTAAGAGATTAAGTAAAAGTTATCAAAGAAAAAAAGATTCATAACTATGTGTGTTTGTGATGCATTTCAACTAGATTTATTACAATGATCATTTTATAATATATACATATATATAGAATCACTATACTGTACACCTGAAACTAATGCAATATTATGTCAACTACATCTCAATTTTTTTAAAAACCACTTAAGATCAAACCACCTCTTCCAGGAAGTCTCTGACCCACCATCAGTTACCTTTGTCTCTCCTCTTTTATACCATCATATTCTTGCATAGCTCTATCATAGTACCACAATGATCTATTCAGGGGTTGGTCATCCCACCAGACTGTTAGCTTTCTTTCAGGTTGAGGATGGAGTCTTACTGGTAAGTACAGTGCCTGCAGAAAGCAGGTGCTCCACAGATGTTTGCTAAATGTGACAGTGAGTGAGCAAGGCAATCAGACAGCATCTGTAGCTCTTGGATATTCAGGACTGTCAGAATTGAAGGTTAATCTAATGACAAAATATCTACATTTTAAACAAGACAGACAGGAAATGTGAAAAGGAACCAGAAAGATATTATGGAGCTGAAAAGTATAATTACTGAAATGAAAAATTGACTAGCAGGATTCAAAACAGATTTGAGGAAGAAGAAGCAAGAATCAGCAAACTGGAAGATAGCATAATAGAAATTACACAGTCTGAGAGAATAAGAAAGAAGACTGAAGAACAGTGAACAGAGTTTAAGGGATCTATAGGATACCATCAAGTGTACCAACACTGTGGGAGTTCAAGAAGGAGAAGAGAGATAGAAGCAGAGAGATTATTTGAAGAAATAATGGAACTTCCCCAAATTTGATCAAAAACATATCTAAGCTCTGTGAACTCCAAGCAGGTTAACCTCACAGAGACCCATATCAAAGCACCACATTATAAGCAAACTGTCAAAACTAAACACAAAGTATGCTGTAAAGGCAAGAGAGAAGCAACTCATCACACATAAGAACTCTTCAGTAAGGTTATCAGTAGCTTTGCCAGAGGGCAGTGGGTGATATATTCAAAATGCGAAGGGAATAAAGAAAGGTAACCAAGAATCCTCTATCTGGCAAAACAATCCTTCTAAATGTTAAGGGAGAAATTAGGATATTTGCAGATAGACAAAAACTGAGAGAGTTCATTACTACTGGAGCTGCACAGCAAGAAATGCTAAAGAGAGTCCCTCAGGTTAAACTGAAAGGACACTAGACAGAAACTTGAAACTGTATGAATAAATAAAGATCTCTAGTAAAGGCAAATACATGGGCAATATTAAAAACTGGTATTATTGCAAATCTGGCTTGTAATTCCACTTTTTATATCCTACATGTTTTAAGGGACTAATGCATAAAAGTTTTATAATGTATGTTTTGGACAGAGAAGCATAAAGATATAATTTTACAACATAAATCACTTAGGAGGAGTGGGGCAGAGACAAAGAAAAACAATTTTTTGTGTGTTCTCAAAATTAATGTGGTATAAATTCGAATTAGAATACTGTAACTTTAGGACATTAAATGTAATCTCCACAGCAGCCACAAAGAAAATAGCTATGGTATATATAAAAAAAGGAAATGAGAAGAAATTAAAATGTCTCATTACAAAAAAACAACTAAATACAAAAGAAGACAGTGATGCAGACATTGAGGGATATATAAACTATAAACCATATGGAAAATAAATAGCAAAGAGACAGAAGTAAGTCTCTCCTTATTAGTATTTATTTTATTCTACATGGATTAAACATCAATCAAAAGATAAAAACTGACAATGCGAATTAACAAAACAAAACATGATCCAACTGTACACCATCTACAAGAGAGTCTTTAAATTCAAAGACACAAATATGTTGAAAGTGCAAAAATGGAAAAATATATTCCAAGTGGATAATAACCAAGAGAGAACAGAGATGGCTATACCATCATCAAACAAAACTTTTAAAAAAAGTTACAAGAGATGAAAAAGCACATTATATATTAATAAAAGGTTCAATACAGCAAGCAAAAATAATAATTACAAACATTCATGTACCCAATAATAAATCATCAAAATATATGAAGCAAAAATGGACAGAACTGAAGTGAGAAACAGACAGTTGTACGATAACGGCAGGAGACTTCATTATCCTGCTCTTAATAATGGGATAGAACAACCAGACAAACAAAAAAACTAAGTCTCAGCTGGGCTGTCAACATGTCATAGGATATTTAGCATGCCTTTCAGTTTCCCTTCTCCGATTCATTGTGATAGGCAAATACGCTCCCCCATAAAGACTTTCAAATGTCCCTAAGGGAGCAGTACTCTCCAAAAAACTGCTGCTAAATGTCAGTAGGTAGTAAGATGCAAAGTTGGTATAGGTATCTAGGTAACTCCAAGGTCAATGTTATTTCTAGTACCAGACACTGACTTGTGAAGGAGCTGAAATTGAAACAAAGGTACAAAGACAGGGAGCACCGCTTCACAAAACATGTGGAACCACATACTTCTGATGAGGAAACCACATAAATAACTGTGGAAAGTAGTCCATACAGCATAACAATAAATCATACATCATTTGTGAATTAAGCAAGATATAAAGCATAGACCAGTTTGTAAAGTATATCAAATTTGTCTATTGAGGAAACTGGGATTCAATTCAGAACTCTGAATGCAAATTGGCACCATTAACATGTTAATTACTGTGTAGGTCTAAGCTGAATAAAGTTACCAGGGTGGGGGTTAAGGCCTCCTGGAAGAATTTCAAAGACTATCATTTCTTCTAGTTTCATTATTCAAGTATTTTCAAATCTATTAAGGATGTTTTTCCATTAAATGTTGTTTATACCAAAGCTGTAAAAATTTATGTGTGTAAATCATCTATACTACTTTAATTACCATTTATTTAATACGAAATTCAGATGTTGGGGGAAGTATTAAAGAGCAACACTAGTTTAATTTAGTGATATAAGTTACAAATATAACAGTAAAAACATTCTCCCTAACATACAAACATAGAATAAATATTTCTATATCCTCAAGGGAATAGTTCTGGTATATGATATTCAGATAGTATTATATACTTCTGAAAATTTTAACATTATAAATAAATCTTAATATACAGCTATTACTGTAGCAGTAGCCTTCAATCAGCATCTTGGTTATTTAATGGTAGTTCTATGAGACATGGGCATGCATGCATAAGCACACCACGTGTGCACACCACAAACAAAAATCTAGTAACCAGCTCTAGTAATCGGTTACCTTTGCAATAATAACTTCTTTCTTCAGAATTTTCATAGCATAGTATTTCCCACTTGCCTTCTCTCGAACCAAAATAACTTTTCCAAAAGTTCCTTTACCTAGTAGTTTCAAATAGTCAAAATCATTCATTGTCTGAAAAATACAAATTAAAAAATACAATTTGAAAAATTGGTGCAATTTATTTGTACACACATATGCATATATTTGCAATATCTACTCAAAAGCAAATTTTATCAATTTCTAAGCACTCTTAAATGAGCAGAAATTATACTGGCATTGTCTGTCTCATTAGCGATCATGGAAATGATTTAAGCATCTTAGTGGAATCTGTAATTCCTCAGCTAGTCAAATTATCAGTCAAGTGTAAGAGCAAAGGGGAAATAAAATCATTTTCACTCACTTTCAAGGACTCAAATTTTTAAGGATTTAGGAGTGCCAACATCCCCAGACAATGTTCCCCACAAACATTTCCAAATATATTTAAGGGAGAAGTACTTTTGAAGAGAGTTGTTTGAGAATGTGCTCTAGCAAAGTAAGGATCCATGAAAGTGAAAAATCTGTGTATAAGAAAAGCTGAAAGCAACCTTGGAACCCAGTGAGGAGAAATCTGAGACAGCAGTATAACTTCTAAGAAAGCAATCGGTGCAGTTCAGAACAGAAAATCAGGGAGCTCAAGGATGCCTTTAATTAATCTGCTTATTTTCAGTTTCATTTCTCACCCCCATTTCTAATTTAAGTGATTCTCAGGATTTTTCCAAACAGATCTGTTTGTATAGCCCTTTCTATGTGTGCTTTTCCTGCACTGCTTTATATATGAACACTCTTTCACAAACTTTCAAAATTCCAATATTGCTTGTCCACTAATTCCCTTTCCACACCCAGCTTTGCACTTTGGTGGACTTGCTCCTTTTAAATCCTTTACTACCATTTTAATGGGCTTTAAATGGAAGAGGAGGTAATGGTATCCTCAGTTTACCATCTTAAGTTTAAATTCAATTTACATGGGTTTATGAATAATAAATTAGGGATTTTATCTCACTGCCAATCAGAAATTATTTAAGATTTTTATGCTTTTTTTCTAACTTTTTTTTTCCTTTTTACCACCCATCTTAAGTAAATGTCAGGAATGTCTCAAAGCAATGATCTCAATTTCCAGCGTAAGAAACCAGAAAAAGAACAAATTAAATCCAAAAGAATTATAAGAAAGGAAATAATAAAGATCAGAGCAAAATCAATTAAATTTTAAAAAGAAAGAAAAACAGCAGAGAAAATGAGTGAAACCAAAATCTGGTTTTCTGAGATCAATACAACTGATAAACCTCTAGCCAGACTGATCAGGAAAATAAAGGGGCAAGACACAAATTACCAGTATCAGGAATGAGAGAAGTGACATCACTATAGATTCTGCAGATATTAAAAGGATCACAAGGGAATTTTATAAACAGCTTACATTTTTATGCCCATAAATCAACATAAACATTAAACTTACATAAGATGAATGAAATCCTTCAAAGTCTCAAACTATCAAAGCTCACTCAAAAATAAATAAGGTAAGCTGAATAGCCCTATATCTATTTAAGGAAACTGATGCTCAAAAACCTTTCAACAAAGAAAACCCAATGAATTTTAGAAACATTGAGAAATACCAATTCATAAACTCCTACAGAAAACTGGAAATAAATACCAATTTTATAAACTCCTACAGAAAATTGCATTTCATTTTATGAATCCATTTAACTCTGATACAAAAACTAGCCAAAAACATTACAAGAAAACTGCAGACCAAATCCTTCAAGTAGATATATGTAAAAAATCCTAAAAATTTTAGAAATGAATGTCTACATTCATTTTCAACACTCTCTGCTGCCTATAATTTTGATATCTTTTCCAAATGTCAAGTTATAATGTCTTAACCACTCAATAATATGCTCTAGTTAAAAGAAAAGTAGCAAAAGATACTGGGGAAAATAAAGTGCATTTTTTAATTCAACTAAAAATCAAACATGTGGCACCAAATATACAGAATATAGTTAACAGGTAACACTAAGTAATTTCATTTCCATTAACAGCTTTTTAAAAATCAAGGAACTCCATATAACTACAAAGCTATTTGTACTATGTAATCTCCAAAAATGGCTGCCACTAATCCCCCCCACTCCCTGTGTGCACATGCCATTCTTCCCATGAAGAGGTGGAGTCAACTTTCCCTCTCCTTGGGCTGGCCTTGTGTCCTGCTTTTTACATGGAACATGATCAAAGTGATGCTGTATCAGTTCCAAACCCCACCTTTACGCCTAGAAAGTTTTGCTTTCTATCTCTGTAAAAGTCATTCTTGAAAGCCAGCAGTCATGTATAAGAAGTCCAGGCTCTCTGCTAGGGAGAGAAAGGCCATGTAAAGGCCCTGGAAGAAGAGATACCATATGCAGGGAGATCACGTGGAGCAGAACCAAAAATCCAGACATGTAAGAAAGCCTTTCTTGGATTTCCAGCCCAGCCTGTGCACCAGCTAACAGCAGCTGCTTCAGAGATCCGTGTGAGACCAGCAGAACTGCCCCAACCACAAAACCATCAGAAATAGCATACTGCTACTGTTTTAAGACATTAAACTTGGGTGGTTCATTTAGTGGCAATAAAGAGCTTCATTTGAGCAGTACCCTCCCTCAATTTTCATCTAAAAACACTGGAAAATGGTACTTGCTGTGCCCTGTTCCTAAATACCATATAAACTGAAACTGCACTCTGGGGGATAAAAATTAGAAAGGAATTTATAAATTACATGATGACATTTTCATATGAAAATTAATATATAATTATACAATATTATTATTTCCTTAAGGACTGCAATTCTTAGGGACAAGGAAGTTTAAAAAAAGTGACAGTTTTAACTCAAAATTTCAGTTTCTGTCAGTTTGACTGTCAATCTTAAAAAGACAAAAAAACCCAAAAAACAAAAAACAAACAAATGTGATGGAAATTAATGTAAGTAAAAAGACACTGTGATTAAAATCAGAATATTTCACATCTATTTTGACAAAATTTCAAAAAATTTAAAAAGTATCTTTGGTACCAATGCTTATTTTCAGGGTGGTACACACAATAATTATCTAGTTTTTACAAAAGAAATATAAGTTATTGCGAAGTGTTTTCCTCTTCTGGGTGATTTTGGGCAAAGAGATATAATAAGATTTATTTTAAAAATGAGAGCATGAATATTCTCCAGAAAAATTAATCTACCAAAACCCAATCCTAAACATTTATTAAGGAAATATTTTACATAGTTATATTCTTCCTCTTACAAAATCTCTAAAGTGTCAGCATGGCTGTTTTAGGTTAAGAGGTTAGTGTGCATACATAACAAATGCTTAAAAAACATTCATGTCACTCATGTTAGAATATAAGAAAAAGACTGGTTGTCTAGTCCAAAACTTAGATTAAAAGACAGGAATAGATGATTGAAGAGAACCTTTCAGAAAATAATATTGAGGTTTTAGCATATTTGGTCAGTAAAGATAAATTCCATATACATTTACAAATGTAAGAGCCACATGGGGCACCAAGTAAAAAGGGAGGCTCCAAGGAAGTTGCCTTTCTGCCCACATATTCCTCACTTCCTCTGGCTCTTTCTAAGCTCTAATCTGATTGGTGCACTTCCGGAACTATGACTTTGCTGCCCGCCATCTCTGAGCAGGCAGTAAGAGATCACATGATTTCAGCAGGGCCCACCATCTCTTCTTTCTGCATTCTATCTCCACATACTGCCACTGCTTCGGGTTAGTGTAGCCATACATTAGGTAAACAAATGCGAAGAACTGGAGTAAGAACTTCCCACCTTAAGATTAAATTTAGTTTACTATAATAAATACATTCTAACATGATAAATGGCATGTTCATCTTTTCGGAACATCTATATCTTTAGGTGAATTTTAAAATACCATTTTTCATATAAGGAAGCTGCTTTTCAATTTTCTATAGCAATGTAAAACATAATTTACAATTCCCATAAATACATAAATTGGCACTGAGGGAAGGAAAAGTCTGTTTCCCTCATTGGCACAGGAGCAGCCATTAAAATAAAAAAAACTATTATTTCCAAGACTTCACTTTTCAGGTGATATTAGTGAGGCTGGGGCACCAAGCAGGAAGTACACCAGAGCCATTTCTGCTTTTGCTATCCGGAGCACACAGAATGCCAAATGGAAAAGGACCAACTAATTCAGAAGCACATTTTATTTCCAAGTTTCTAAAACGACATTAAAAACAATATGAGAAAAATGCAAATTATGAGTAGTATGATGGTACATCAGTCAACACCTACCTAACAAACCCTAGCAGCATTCAGGGCCAAATGCTGAACCAGTGAAATGAAGTGATGTTTTGATTATCTGGTTTTAAACAATGATAAGTGTTTCAGATTCACACCTGAATAAAAATCACCCACACCCATATATTTGCATATCATAAGATAATCAGACATAGTAATTCTTGTCCATAATTTGAACATAGTAATTTTTAGCACGTTTCTTCCATACATAAATGTCATGCTGAGTAGAGGGATAAGTGATTATTTTCTACCTTTCTTTTATGATGGGTAGTAGAAGCATCCATCTCTTCTTCCCCTATGTTATCTATTTGTGAAGTTGGACTACAATTCATTCTCTCCTCTTCTTGCCTCTGAAGTCTATCTGCCACAGCCTGGATAGCTTCTGTCCATTCTTCCCTATAAAAACAAGTATGAATTTCCATTCATAGAGGACAGTAAATGATTCAAGTATTTCTCTTTTATAAAATATGAGATCAATACAAATAAAGCCTATTCCAGAATAACACACACATATACATAAACATATTCTCCCACTACTACTCCCACTTGAAATTAATCCTAAAAGCATTTTACATTATAGGCCTAAAGTCTGTAGCACTATTTATTTGGAGGTATGTTAAATTTAAATAAGGATGAAAGGATTATAAGAAAATTCAGTTACAATCTTTTAAAAGTACAGTTAAGTTTTGATTATCTCTACACATCTTACATATAAAGTAAATTTACTCAACTGCACCTTTTAAAACATTTTGCTTAGACATTGTAAGTTCATCATTGGCATACTCAAGAACTTTACCATGGTCCAATAGAAGTTCTAAGAAAAAGTTTTCAAAGCCGAAGCTTTTTATTGTTCCCAGATCATAGATACGTTTCTTTAAAAAAAGAAAGTAATAATAATAGGCATAGTTTGTAGCTAAAATAAATGTCAGGAGCACCAGTATCAAGCTTTTATTTTTTGACAGTTGTGCTACCAGAACAAGGATCATTTATTTCCATATGAACTTTAAAACTCGGCTTCTCAATTTCTTAAAAGTTTGTTAGGATTTTGAGTTAAACTGCACTAAATTACTAAAGGTCAATTTGTGGGAAATTACCATCTTAATAAATAAAACTTCCAATCCATGAATATGGTATAGCTCTCAATTTATTTAGGTCTTTAATTTCCCAATGCAATGTTTTCTAATGTTCAATGAAAAGGTCTTGTACATCTTTAATTGAACTTACTTTAAATGAACAATTACATCTTTAATTGAACTTCTATTATACATTGTGGAGTTATTTTTATTTCATTTTGTAATTTTTCTTGCTAGTATTTAGAAAAACAGTTGCTTTTTATATGTTGGCCTTGTATCCTGCAGCCTTACTAAACTGATTTATTCATTCTAGTAGTTTTTCTTTTTCTGGGTTTTTCTATACATACAACTACGTTGTCCACAAATAAAGGCAGTTTTACTTCTTTTTTTCCAATCTATTTGCCTTTTGATTCTTTTTCTTGCCCTAAATCAGACCACCAGCAATATGTTAAAGAGATGAGAGTAGACATTCTTAACATGGTTCTAGATCTTAAAGAGAAAATGTTGAGCATTTTATCTCTGAGTATTATGTGAGCTGTAGATTTTTTAGAGATACCCTTAACCAGGTTGAGTTAAGTTCCCTTCTATGATTCATGGTCAGTTGAGTGTTTTTGTTATGAAAGGGTGCTGAATTTTGTCAAATGCTTTTTCTGCATCTGTTGAAATGACCCTGCAGTTTTTCTCTTTTGTCCTATTAATATAATAAATTTAGTTGAATAATATCAGATGTTAATGCAACTGAATTCTTGGGGTAAACTCCATTTGGTCATGATGAATTGCCCATTTTCCATATTTCTGAATTTTTCAAAATTTGTTAACGTATTTTTTTTTATCCATGTTCACAAGTATTTCAGTCTATAGTTCTCTCTTCTTATGGCGGCTTTTGCTTGGTTTTTGTAATAAGAGTGACAATGGCATTACAAAATGAGCTAGTAAGTGTTGTCTCTATTATTTTCTGAAACTGTGTAGGATTAGCAATATTTCTTCTTTCAGTGTTTGACAGAACTCACCAGTGAAGCCATCTGCATTTGGGAATTTTCTTTGAGGAAAGGCTTTTTAATTACTGATTCAGTTCTGTTCATTGATGCTGCTGTTTGAGTTTTCTTGTTTTTTTCGGGGTCAGTATTGATAATTTGTGCCTTTCCTTTTTTTTTTCTTTAACAACCTCCGATTGTTTTTCATTTCTATTAACCTTTTCTCCAGAAAAAAGAACTAACTAGCTTTGGTTTAATGAACAGTCTCCATTATTTTTCTGTTTGCTATTTCATTGATTTCAATCTCTATTGTTTCCTTCTTTGCATTGGCTTTGGATTAATTTATTTTTCTAATTTCTTAAAATGGAATTTAGGTTACTGACTTCAGAACTTTCTTCTTTTCAAATATAGGCATTTAAGGTTATAAATTTTCCTCTAATCACTCATTCAGCCACATCCATAAATTTTGATACACTTAATTTTCATTATCATTCACTTAAAACTATTTTCTAATGGCTCTTGTGAAATTTGCTTTTGACCCAACAATTGTTAACAGGGATGTTAATTTCCAAACAGTTGGAGGTTTCTGGTTCTTATTCTTACTGATTTCTAATCAAATCTACTGAGGCCAGAAGCCATATTTTGTATAATTTCAATCTTTCTAAATACATTAAGAATTGTTTTATGATTCAGAATATTATCTTTTCTGGTGAATGTACCATATCCATTTGAAAACAATGTGTATTCTGCCACTTTGGGGTTGCAGTATTATTCCATAAGTATCAATTTTATCAAAGTGGTTGATCTATGTCTTTTTATTTTTCATTCTGTCTTTGCTGATTTTTTGTCTAGCTGCTCTATTAATTGCTGAAAGGAATTTAAAAATCTCTACATATAGTTTTGAGGTTGCAATTTTTCTCTTTCCAATTTTGTTATTGCATGAATATTCATGATTGTTATATCATCCAGTTCAATAAACCCTGGTACTCTCTAGAAATATGTTTTATTTTGAAACCTGATATAATATAGCAAATCTCCTCCTTACATTTATTGTTGCATGATATATCTTTTCAACCCATTTATTTTCACCTAGCTGTGTCTTTATATTTAGAATGCACATTTCTTACAGATGGTACACATGTGGGCCTTGTACTTTCATCAGTTCTGAAACTCTCTGCCTTTTAACTTCAGTGTTTAATCCATTACTTTTTAATGCAATTAATCATATGGTTACACATAAGTCTACCATTTTACTTTTTCTACTTTCTCCTCTTCCTGGTCCCTTTTTCTCCTGCCTGTTCTTGTTCTAAATTTTTTTCATAAAAAATTTTAAATTTTTAGCAATACTTTCTTCTGCATTATTTTTACCTACATTCTTACCTTTACATTGTCTACTATGTAATGTACTGTGGATGATAAATTTTTCATGATTCTAATTCTCTTTATTATTAGTTATCATACTCTTGCTCTCCATTCAGTAGTTATCCTTGAAATTATAGCATTCATCCTCAACTTAGCAAAGTCTAATATAGGTCCATATTTTTAACTTCCCAGAAAATGCATCAACATCGTAAGAACTCCATTTTTCCTTCAGTATCAATTTATATATTATTTCAGATATTTTCATTCTTTATATAATTAAATCACAAGATGTTATTATTATTAATGAGATAAATACTCATTTAGCTTTTTCAACTTATTTACCATTTTAATTGTTTTTCTTTCTTTCCAGCATCTCTTTTCCCATCTGAGATCATTTTGATTCTGTCTGAAGGACACTCTTAGTATTTCTTTAACTGTAAATTTGCTGTGACAAACTATCAGTTCTTCCTGAAATTACTGAAATATTTGATTAAACTATTTTCATTTTACTTTCACTGTTGGAAAGTATTTTTGTTCATTAGCAATTATTTTCTTTCAGCACTTTGGGGATATCATTCTATTACCTCCAATTATCATGCCATCCATATATTTCATGCCAATTGTTTCATAGATCTTTTGGTCTAATTATTGCACCTTTGAAGGTAAAGTATCTTTTTTCTCTATCTGCTTTGAGGATTTTTCCATTGCCTTTTGTTTTGAAAAGTCAGATGGAACTATGTCAGTTTTCTTTGTAATTTTTCCTGGGATTTATAGAACTTCCTGAATATGTAGTTTCGTATCTTCAGTCATTTTTGAAAATTCCCAGCCATTATCTCTTCAATTACTTTTTGCCCCGTTCTTTCATTCTTCCATACCAAGACTCCAATTATGTGTAATAACTCACTGCATTTCCTTTGTCTTACATTCTGCTCTGATTCTTATTTTCTATCCTTTCAACTCTTTATGTTGCATTCTGGATATTTTGTTAAACCTACCTTTGAGTTTACTAGCTTTCCCTAATGTTAGGCCTAATTTAATGCTAAAAAACATCCACTAGCACTCATAATTTTTTAATTTTTTGTTTTTCAATTTTAGAATTCCATTTTATTCTTTTTTTATGACTTCTAGCTCTGTGTATTTCCCAATCTTAACTTCTATACCCTTGAACACATTAATTCACAGTTCTTTTAACCTCTATCAGTTAACTCCATTATCTGGAGCCCCTATGAATACAATTCTGTTGTATGTTTTGCCTCTGTGGTTTGATCACATTGTCTTGACTCTCTGTGTACCTGTTTATTTTTTTAATGAGTACTGTACAATACACACAAAAAAGTAAAAAGATACTGAGGCCTAGGAAGATTTAATCTTCTTTTAAAGATTATTTATATTTGCTTTTAATTGGCTCTAAGGAGACAAGCAAAAGTAGATCATGTTAACTAAATAATTACAGTTAACTAATAATTAACTATAAAAATTATAATAACTAAATAACTAAATAACTGAATAACAATAAAAAATAATAACCTGAAATAAAGCTAGACTTCAGTCTGCAGATGCTATGTCCATAAGAGAATAAATGTTTTGAGTTACAAAATAAACAGAAACCAACAGCTAAAACAAGAAATAAAAGATGATGAAAAAGCATCATGATCACAACAGCAGTAAAAATATGAAATAGCTACTAATAAGCTTACTATCAACTACTTCAAATAAAGAGGGAAAACCTACTAAAGGAATTAAGTAAGTATAAGCAACATGTACTATAGTGGAATGCTAAATATTATAAATGTATCAGAGTGTTCCAAATTAATTTGTAAGTTTTAAGGTAACTCATTAAAAATACTCACAGGAATTTTCTTTAGAACTTAAAAAAATAACCTTAAGTTCTCCTAGAAGAATGCACTAGAGACAGCAGCAAGATGGCAGAATAGGAAGCTCCAGACCCTCCTTCCTCTCATGGAGACATTGACTCAACAACAATACA